TGGGTCCCTGGAAAGACATTACAGACCCCAGGGAATTGCAGTCTTCATTTCATACCCTCCTCTCCTCAGATGTCAACATAGAAGAGGGCAATGAAACGAATTACTTGGCCTCTGGAATTCATGCACGCTCCTTCACCCTCTTTGATTACTTGCCAACAATAGGAATGTTATCAAGAAAGTACAAGGCAGAATGGAACAAAGAGTGGGTCACCGTGACCCTGGCTAGGCAGTCCCCCACGTGCTGTCCATGTTCATTACATTGATAACTAGCTCTCATATGGGTTAAACACTCTGATTTAGTTTAGTGCTGCATGAAATGTCTTTAATGGTGCACTTACACTATGCTTACTGGTGAGCTGTAATGAGCGTCAACAAAAATGAGGCACGGGAGTACCAACTTGGGATGGCAGGATAAGGGCCCAAAATCAGGATTGCCCTTCTGTACTTGTTAGAGTGGAGACGTGCCAATCTTCAAGTGCTAGCATTGTACCTTTATATAATGCACTAGTTTGTGTTACTTCTTTACCTATTACTCCCCTAACGATTTAGAAAACTCTTCACTGTTTTACAGCCAGTTACTCTGGAGAAGACATAAAATAAAGGCTGTTGAATGTTTTCTCTAAAATGCTGAGCACCATGCTGTCCTAAAATGCTTAACGGTCAAATCTTGCAACTTTTAAATATACTTGTAATCTTAATGGAAATTCAGTTTATATTCAGGTATGTCTGCCATTAGAATTATGACCCTTAGTTGCTATACGGAATGATTTTACCTGGAAAAAAGTGTGCTTTGCTCGATTTACCATGCTTGCCAGTGTATTTTGTGCATGTTACCTCCATAGCTAGGATTTTATTAACTTTCTGGGATCAAGTAACTATAATTCCTTATTGCAATATGTGGTCAAGTGTGCATATATTACAAAATATATCAAGATATACATAAATAAAGTGACCCCTCTGTATTATGGAAGTAGCCGGGAAGGGGCAGGGAGAGTCCTGTTTTTGTCAAATAGATTTTACATGTCTTGGCAGAAAATCGGGCAAACGGAACTCAAAGGCTTCTTCTACCATAACCACTACATATAGCGGTAGGGAGGTAGTGTGGTTCTTCGAGTGTCCATTGAAGTGCCTCCTGCTTTTTTCATTCAGCTAATAGTTATATATTTATGGTGCCGCTATTGACATTATAACATTTCCTTTGCATATTGCAGTACCGGTGAACAGATGTGCCAGTGTGATTAAATGCACATTCTTCAAAGCACCATATATACTATAGCTTATTGCAGTGGTAATGATGCACAGTGGTAAAGATGCTAGGGAAACATACATTTTAATTCCTGTGCATTTTCTTCAGTACCCAAGCTCCACCCCATTCCCACTGACATCATATGGAGAGCCCAAGTTTTTTAAAAGAGTGGTACAAGT